CAGGGAATCTGTCTGCGGACCCGTATGTATTTAGAGAATGCCTCGCTTCATCGTACGTGAAAAAGAATCTTCAGAAGATTTCGAAACAAATCCGCTATAGAAAGTTAACTTCCTCCTCTCTACCAATCCTCCCCGTTTCTCGTAGTCTTAAAATTAAAAAAAAAAAACCCTTATTAAATTTAAAACCAGAAAAAACTGTTTCTAAAACGTAACAAATTGACTTCTACATCGACATGAAAAGCATTGAAAATACAGTTTATGTAGACCATCGCACTTCAGCGTTAACACCAGCGCAATTTGTCGTAGCGATCAACAAAATAAGAGCACAATGCCATCATCGCACTTCGGCGTGATCAAAAACGCATTTCAGTGTGAAACCATTGCACTTTAGCATGACCATCGCGGTTCGGGGTACTATCGCGGTTCAGAGTCATTCATATAGATATAATGTATGTTCACTCAACCAATCAGGGCGGCCAGAGCTCCAGATAAAATGCGTATTTGCGTCATCACGTAATGAAAACAATCAAGAACTCAACCAATTAATCAATGTCAGCGTTCAAAATTCCAATTTATATAAATGAGAACTCTATATAATATATAAATGCCTTGAATAGTAGCAAGGGAAAGGCACTAAGGCCAGCCACCCCTGTATTTCCCACTTTAACATATTTATTTTACACTCGTAACTACAAAATATAACACTTTGATTTCGTAACCTACTCCATTACTGGAGGTAGTCCTATATGGACTTTCATTTGATATGCGACAACCTTACCATCTTGGAAGTTTTATTTTGCACTTAATGACCCCACCCTTCTCTTTTTGGATGGAAAAGGGGGCTAAAATGTTCATTTTTGAAAAGAGCTCATTTAGACGTTAAATGTGATATTTAACATGACCCCATTTGGCAAAGTCCAAAAAATGATGCAATATCAATTTTATAAATAGAACTTATGAAACTTACAAAGTCAATGTAAATCATGAAAATTTCGAACTGCTTATTTTTCTTTGTTTTTCATCAAATATTTGTGGTATTTAGTCAAACATATAACCATGTTAAACTCTTCAATTTCTGAAAATTTCAAGATGCTAGCTGTAGTTGATTTAGAAATATATGACCCCTGACCAAATTTCAAACTGCAATATCTCTATAACAAAAACAGATATCTTAAATCTGTTTAAAATGATCTGCAGATGAAGCACAACACTGTCACAAAAAATGGGTAATACTAAATATGTAATGCAATACCGAACTTGAGAACCGGAAGACGTAGTGACATTGGACTACCACCATTTAAATCAGGACCACTTGACCTTTCAAAAGGTCACAAGGTCGTGGATATACATGTAGCACCCTTTGAAGGTCAAGGTGAAATTTTCTCATGACCTTGACATTGACCTGAAATTGAAGGTTTTGAAATACTGTTCATTTTTGCAGTTTATAGTAGGTTGATATATACTGCCGTTTCAAAGATATACACACAAAATTATACTTTAAAGAATTATCTCGTCGTAACTTTTGAACAGATGGCCGGACAGTTTTGGGCCTAATGTATGTTTGTAATTGTATTGCATATACCGACTCTAAATAAAGCTTTATGCCTTATGTCTTATGTCTATGAGATGTAGAGCACTACAAAAGGAACGTTTAATGCGCTGTGTGTATACAGCTATCTCTTATATTTTTCTTAATATTCAAGTTTGAAATTTAAGCGTAAAAGTTTTTTGCACTCTATGACCTATGACCTTGGGTGCAAACGAAAAGTCGCATGAACTAACGATTATTGTTGGAGGTCCCATGTCTCTATAACTTCAGGTTCTCGCAATATAATTTTTCAAAAATTGTGTATAATATTTCAAGGGAAATAACTCTTATAAGAGTTGATAACAAAATAATTATTTATATTTATTATCACTGCCATCTGTTCTTGTACATAAAATTGAGAATGGAAATGGGGAATGTGTCAAAGAGACAACAACCCGACCATAGAGCAGACAACAGCCGAAGGCCACCAATGGGTCTTCAATGCAGCGAGAAACTCCCGCACCCGGAGGCGTCCTTCAGCTGGCCCCTAAACAAATATGTATACTAGTTCAGTGATAATGGACGTCATACTAAACTCCAAATTATACACAAGAAACTAAAATTAAAAATGATGCAAGACTAACAAAGGCCAGAGGCTCCTGACTTGGGACAGGCGCAAAAATGCGGCGGGGTTAAACATGTTTTTTGAGATCTCAACCCTCCCCCTATACCTCTAGCCAATGTAGAAAAAACAAACGTACAACAGTACGCACAGTAAAACTCAGTTTAAGAGAAGTCCGAGTCTAATGTCAGAATAGGAAACAAAAGAAAATAAACAAAATGACAATAATACATAAATAACAACAGACTACTAGCGATTTTCAGATCGATTCTATCTGTAACAATTTTTAAGATATATGCAAATAAAAGAAATTGTTCAAGGGGATATAACTCTAAATAGGGATGATGAAATTCTACGCAGCCTCATCTGGTAGTTATTCGTGATGATATCTACCTATTGTCCAAATAAGGTTATGATATTTTAAAAAACAACAAGGGAGGGGGGGAGGGGCATGTCGAATAAAATCAACAAAAGGGAGATAACTTCTAAAGGAGTTGAAGAAATCCTACACAGCCTCATCTCAATAGAACCGGGGGGAGACCATGCCAAAATTTGGTGACTATGTTGAACGCATCTATCCCATCGAACTTGAGATAAAGGAAACAACAGATACAATTAAGTCTGCCTCATATCTGGACTTACATTTAGAAATTGACAATGAGGGTCGGTTGAAAACAAAACTTTACGACAAAAGAGATGATTTCGGCTTCCCAATTGTGAACTTTCCATTTCTATGTAACAACACTCCAGCAGCGCCTGCATATGGAGTATATATCTCCCAGTTGATACGATATTCCAGGGCTGGTATTTCCTATCATGATTTCCTCACAAGGAAGCTATTAAACCAAGAGTTCCAAGTGGTGAAGTTGAAATCATCCATTCGTAAGTTTTACGGACGTCATCACGAGTTGGTTGACCATTATGGAATATCCGTTTCACAGATGATAACGGATATGTTCCTAATGTCGTAACTACAATCACGTGTCCCCCTTTTCCCGAATATGACCTACCAAATTTGACTTATTACTGGGTTTGTACTAACATGAGCAACACGACGGGTGCCACATGTGGAGCAGGATCTGATTACCCTTCCGGAGCACCTGCGATCACCCCCAGTTGTTGTTGGAGTTCGTGTTGCTCAGTCTTTAATTTTCTCTGTTGTGTTTTGTGTACTACTTTTTGTCTGTTGGTCTTTTTCTTTTTTAGACATGACGTTGTCAGTTTATTTTCGACTTATGAGTTTCAATGTCCCTCTGTTATCTTTCGCCTCTCTTTGCAAAGCTCTGGGTATGTTTTTTTTCATCTTTCATTGGGTAGTTTTGTGTTACCTTCGTTATGTTCGTGTATTTGCAGACCGCATAGTACATTTTGCGAAAGTGTAACTCGAGATCTTTTTAACTTGATTTACGAGTTATATTTTGACAGTGCCTGTTTTGCATCTTACATTAATCAAACTTTTTAGGTGTCTAGATCATCTTGATTTGTAACATTAAAATAACGTGTCTCAGTCAATAACATGGCAATGAAAAACCAAATGCATTAAGGAATGTTGTGGTGTAAAACCAAGTATGGTGGTGAAAAAAAAACCTAACATATTCGATGTGTGCTTGATTGATTAACTGGAATTGAAGATGTAAATGAGAAAAATAGCTCGCTCATATACATTAACAATGGTATGAAAAATCCAAATTAATAACTTTTATCCTGAGAACTAATTTTGTTTCCTCTAAAATAAGACTTGTGATTTTAAGAGTATGCATTTCTTTTGGAGAAAAATCTAGAACAAATGTAACTTTGCAATGTGAGTTTACATGTACAATAAACACAGAAAACGTTTCAACCGCAAAAACAGCTGATGCAGCAATCGCAAATTACACGATATCAAGTTACAAAACATTACCTTAATACAACAGATGTGTTCTAGCTAGGTTATGTAAGATTGTATGATATGCATGTTTAGACATTAAAAACCATTAATTCATTTGCTTTAGAAATTAGTAATGGCTTATAGATAGACACATTCTCTTTAAAAAAAAACTGTTCGACGAACAATTCTCAGTAGTACATTCATTTATACTATATGAAAATAAGCATTACACAACCCACACTTTTGCATACCTAAAGATTGCATGGAAAAAAATCACGTTTTCATTATTCTCAGCCAAACAAGACTTAATCAAATAACATTTTTGTTTTTGGTTTAAAATATTTAAGTTTTGACCTACATGTAGATCATATTCCTGTAAAAAGGAGAGGTTGCAAACCCCTTATTACTAAGATCTGAGTGGAATGCACCTGCCACGTGTGGATTTCGAACTCACAACCTCATTATTGACATGATAGTAATTGCTGTGAATGAACTCCTTAGACCACTTGGACACCGAGGCTCCACGCTAAAAATAGAAGTAATATACATGATATTTATTCAGGTGACGCAAAGTGAACAATATAAAAATAAGAAAATGTGGTATGTTTGTCAATGAGACAACTGTCCACAAGATACCAAAATGGCACAGAAATTAACAACTATAGGTCGCCGTACAGCCTTCAACAAGACTTTTTGTAATAATGCTTTTGTCGTTTTTTCTACCTTTTGGATTACAGTTCCTTGCACATTATCCTTTTATTTAAATTCATTTCATGTCTAAAGGTAACAGTATTGTTTGTTTTTCTATTTTGGTTTAAAAAAAATTTAAAATAGGCCACAATATGCCAATCTATCTATCTTGTATCTTATAATTTCAGCTAAAATTCTTGCAATTCTCTCACCTAGTTATATAGACTTCAATATATTCACAAATTTAATCAATAACATGCATTTACAAATATTTACTTTTATTGTTTTTGAAGGTTATATCATTTTGATCTGCTGCAATGAAGAAATGTTATCATTATTTGTTCTGCCTCAAATGCTTCTTATTGATGTTTGTAAGTATTTTATTTTTTAACCGTGCCCTAAGCCATTAGATTAGACAGATGACCAAAGATCTAGAGTCGTAGATGATTTATAATCTTTATGGGAGCTGGAGCTATCAGGTCTTTTGTATTTTCTAGATTTACTTTTGGAATAGGATAATGAATGATCAGACCTCATTTTTGGCGAAAATCAAAAGGTATAACTTTGTCACAAAAAAATCATTCAGAATGATGTTTCACAGGCCTAGGACACATTGTATTAGTCAGTTGGACATCAGTATTTATATTTTTGAGGCGCAAGCGCAATCGATCTAGAACTCGGTACACAAGCAAACGGACCAAAAAGAGGTCAAATTATTGTCTTTAAAACAAATTAATCTGCGATATGTTTGTGATAATTTTGACAAAATTAAACCAAAGTGACTGCTATAAAAGAGAGACGAAAGATACCAAAGGGACATTCAAAGTCATAAGTCGAAAATAAACTGACAACGCCATGGCTAAAAACGAAAAGACCAACAGACAAACAATAGTACACAATAGTACACAATACACAACATAAACAATTAAAGACTGAGCAACACAAACCCCACGAAAAACTGGTGGTGATCTCAGGTGCTCCACAGGGGTAAGCAGATCTGCTCCACATGTAGCACCCGTCGTGTTGCTCATGGAGCCGAACTATTATTCAACATTTAGCTCTTATGAATGTTTGAAGCAGAGAAGAACATACTAGATATTTTTGTTTTCAAATTAAACTGTTAAAACCGTGACTGATGCCGCTTTAATTGAGAGGCAAACAACGTAAATGTTGACATGTCACAAGTGTGAATAAGCATATTTCGTTTACAACTTGAGATACTGATAGAGTAATACATTCGAGTCGCTTAAACGCACTCTCTTTCCACAAACAGTATCCACCATTTTTGTTTTCTTACTTGATCGACCCAAACTTCTAACGACGCTTCTTGGAAGTCCTTTTTCAAGATCGTAAGGGATTTCTATAAGATTTAATCAATCGGGATGTCTTTCATCTTATACTATGTTATTTTCGTATTCGGGCATCAAACGCAAATAAAGAAATTAATATAAACAAACACCAAACACATATCTATCGAAAACAGATGGCCTAGTCGAGTGCAGCAAAGTTTTATTTTAATTTAACAGAAAACTCTTCTCAAATCACTTTGCAAAAACGCTCTGAAGCCGTTGCACCATACATGTCTTAGAAACATATCTACAAAGAAAAAATAAAGTAATATAATTCGTTCATATCTTTATATAAAAACAATCGAAATAATGTTCTTTTAAGACCTGCAGAAAAAACGTCATGCGTAACATTGATTAAAAAAATAATACAAAAGGTTTTACATGGGTGGGTCAGTGGGGAAATTTTACTGCACTTAGTATGAGTTTCGAATGGTCAACATATGCAATTGTATTTTCAGTGTAAACTTTAACTGCGAATGACCAGTCCGTACTATCATAAAAAGAATCTTTAAACTCTTAACAGAATGGTTAGGTGCCCTATTATGGTTATGCTAAAATAGTTTAAAGATTTTATTCAACATGAACACATGTTTCACCGTATAACAACAAACCCTTGTGCTACTGATAGTTAATAAATATATTTCTGAGTCATATTATCCTGACTAAATAACTTAACCGTACGTTGAATAATGGTTATTGACATGATTTGAAGAAGAGTGGTTAGAAAAGGAAAATATTTTGCAGAACAAAAAATGATGAATTTGTTTTGGATTTTGCAGTGTATACGCAGATATTATTATGCGTACGGTCTCGCGATTCCTTGTTTTTGTTTGTAACTATGATTTGTCTCTTCCTAAATGATCCACGGTTTGACCATCAGTACACTATACGGTCGCCGTAATGTTTTCTTTACCTAAAAAAAAATGCATTATTAATTATTGTCCTTTTGATATTTTCTGCCTCTTTTTATTTGAATTGTGTTGTAATAGCTCATCAATGATCAATTGTTTAAAATATCTTTTAACACAATTTTGATTTTCATTTGCAACTACATTTAATATATGATTAAATTACCAGTTTGGAATTTTGAATTTGAAAGCACCAGCAAATTAATTTAGTATTGCGATTCAATACTTTTACCCTCTGTAACACAATACACCTTATCGCTATTTGTGCGCCATTTCTGGACACCACAAAGGTTCCCGTAACATTTTGACGTCATAATAGAAAATATCTGACACCACAATGGAAAAGTGATTGTCGTATGACGTCAATAGATAAAAGGAGCAGATTCTCGGGTTAAGCGGCGCAGATTTCCAAATAGCGATAAGGTCTATATCTGTAATATATGTATTATTCGGTTGTAGGTCTAGGGGTGGTTGGAATGAAAAGTCGGATAATTAGAGAAAAAATAACATATCACTACTAAGCTATAAAGCTCTTGCACGGTCGGCTCGAAGAAACACTCGAGCTGCTTTATCTTCCATCGATATATTTTGTTGATTTGTCTCCCAAAATTTTTATCACATTTGAACTTTAACTCGATGTATAGTTATACTCATCCGAGGCACATAAAATAAAAGACATTGGAATCGATTTAAAAATAGGACTATTTTTTTTCAAAAATGGTCACGTGGTTTAACCTCATCAAGTAATGTGATAAAAACATCAAAGAATGACAGAACCACACCAAATACTAAAACGAACATATCACACTAGTAGCAAGATTTCAGTCTGAAACGGTCATTTTGGTCTGATCAAGTCTTAATTGACTGGATTTACCGCTAGAGAAAAACGTCAAGACTTTTTCAGACTTTCAGACGCTGTCACGATGTACCGTGTTAAGTCCGTTCAGTCATGTCAAGATAAACAAGACAGATTATGCTCGCGTCCGTTTCAGTCTGTTAAGACGGTTTCAGACGAAATCAGACCAAATGTCACAGTGTAATTTTGGATAAAAATTCTTATTTGAACTTTTATTAAGAAAAGCCTTATTTTTATATTTGAATATTTTTATTGCAATAATTTTATTTTTTAAAAAGTAAAACATTTTGAAGTTTTGTTACAAATGGACACTTTATTTATTCTTGGTTATATTTAGAAATTCTTAAGGACATAAGAAACAGGTGTTCAATTAAGAATTAACTTTTCTCTTTGTCAAATCTTAAGTGACAGATTTTATTACATAAGATCCTCTTACACTCTTTTGTTCAAATAGATGTAATGTCTTTGTTAATCAGAATGTCTACATTAGCTTCAATTAAGCTTTTACATAAAACTTCTCCGAGCGGTATAGGGGGTAGTCCTAACACGTGGTAATTTTAATTTTCGCGTAACCATGGATTAATAAGTAGAAACGAATTCTGATTGGTTGAACCTGCAAAATTGTTCAAATCTGTGAATTGTCTTTATTCACTAAAAGCGTCACTTTTCAAATTGAACGCAGTGAATAAAGACTATCCTCAGAAAACAGATTTGACTATTTTCAGGTGAGTAAAAACTAAGTTTGATTTTTATTTTAAAATCTATTTCTTTATAGATTAAAAGTATTTATTTCATTATCACAATGTATCGTTAAAAGTTCTAAAAGCTCATGTTAATAAGTTAAGCCAATTTATAGAGAAATTATCATTTTCAATAGTTGGTCAATTTTAAATATGTATATATCTTTTTCTAGTTAATATTTTGGAAGTATTTATCAATTTCAAACATATTAAGTATTTTTGTAAATGAACACTAGTTGCCAAAACTAGACTAAAATGAACAAGCTTCATCAGAAGTAATTTTTATATGGGAGACAACTCTGGTTTTTACCGCGATAATTCATGAGCAAATAATATGTCTCAATTTACAGTTTACCCATTATTTGTGAACAATGGTAGGTGTAAGAAAATTATTATTCAAAGCTTTATGCATTAGTTCTCATAGTCGCTAGGTAACAAAAAGCTCTCGGAAGCTAGTAAACTGATGTTCTCTATTTATCCCATTGCAAGCCCAGTGTTGCACTTGTTTTCTTATTTAGTAAGATTCCCTGTTTGTTTTTTTTTTTATAGTTTTCCCGTTCAAAGTAAAGGCATTTTTTGACCTTCGTTTATTGTGTTATATGCTAGATGTATAAAATCCACCATGTTCTTATTTTTAGTATGTGAGCTAGTCACAAGATTTAACTTACACAGTTATCTCCCCCTTTATATGCAAATTTGTTTACAACTGTTTGCTTTTCTGTAAATAATAGCCTACGGCTATGGTATAATGTAAATACATGTTTTTAATGGTTAAAGTTACTGAATAAGTTGAAATTATTATTAGAGAGATATTTGGTTGTTAAAATAGTACAAATGAAAAGTTTATAATTTGTTTAATTGTTTACTGCAAATCCCATGCATATCTGACTGCACAATTCAAAAACCATACAAACACTCAAGAGTTCACACCGTTCAAGGTGAAATAGCAAGAAACTTCACAGTTCTTATCTATAGTTTTAATAACCCATGATTTGTTATTGTATCTCATTTATTGACTGCATTGTTATACTTTATATTTTATTATGTAATATTGTTATTATAAGACTTTTCAAATTGAACGCAGTGAATAAAGACTATTCTCAGAAAACAGATTTGACTATTTTCAGGCCTGTCAAAAGACTCCAGTCAACAAGATAATTATCTTGCAACAGCTGAAAATCACAAAGTCAAAACCACCCTGCATCTGTCTGTCACGCTTGCTCATTGCTCTACCACAAACCTACAACCTACACTCAAAACATAAGTTTGACACAAACCTAAAAAATTCCTTTCAAATTTGTCAGACCGTGTTTAGATCCGTTCAGTTTGCTAGTATGATACTACGAGTTATACCCCTTCTGATTGATGATACATTTTAAATTGAGAAATATTTGCTAGAATTAAAAGCGTAACTTTCGAATAAATAAATTTATTTCTGTTTTTGTTTTGTTAAGGACTTAAAAAAAAAAATTCTTCGTCTATAAATATCGTTGGTTTTATTTTTCAAATTAATGTTAG